GGAATTTTGTTAAATCTGCTAACAACCGTCAAAGACATTCAGGTTGACCAAAAACTATTGAAAAATCAATTTCAGCTTTTGGTTTCAACTCTCAATCGCGATAGGAGGTTTTTAACAATCGATGGGAACAGTGATTTTTACTTCTCCATGGCAAGCGAAATTCAAAAAATTTGCCAATTACCTTTGTCAAAAATTGGCGATTTGTGCGTTGCCGAAGAAATGTTCAAGAATGCTGATTATGTCAGCTTCTTGTTAATGATTTTCGTTACGAATTCGGTTGCTGGTGGCCCAGTGGGAATGGTGGCTGGGTTTGTGTGGGATAAGTTTTTTACTCCAAGCTTATCCAGCCTCATTGCCTGGGCCAGCATTGATGAATGCAGGGAAGATGGCTTCAAAGAATTTGGTAGGAAAGATCGGGAGAAGAAGAAATTGCTGTTGTTTAAATCACGTTTTCCGAGATTGACCCAAATGATTTACCACATCATTCGGCGACGTGCAATGCTGAGTGAAGAGAAACCACCGTCAACATTCAAAATGAATGAAGAAATTAAGAAAGCTAGGGCTGTCAGCGTCAGAAGATATACTACTGGAATGTATATTACGGACTTTTAAGACTCCTCTTCAGCGTATCCCGGCAGATTGTGTTTGGCAATGTTTTCTGAAGATATAGACCAGGGACCGGAATTTAATCAAGCAGATTTCAAAGAAGATCAGAAAGTCCGAAGAAATACGTGCTTCATTTGCTCCAATAGAAGTGCTATTTGTCAAAACGAAGCTGAAGGATCTGCTGGTGACAAATTGGGCCGAACAAGTCGAAATAAGTCGAAGAAATATTCTGCAGCTGCTAAGAAAAAGGCGAAGAAATTCGTGAAGAAAAATAATACAGTAGAAAAAACTGCTGGTGGAAGTTGTAGACGACCAAATCGAAGAGTCAATGAGAAACCGAGGAGGGAGTTTTTGAATTATTGTTCGTTTGCTCATCGCTTTCAACGTATTGAAGAAAGAGCGATGAATAATATGTCTGAAGGAGTTTCATTCTTGGATTATCCGGCGATGACAAACCAATTGATTGAGGTACGTCATTTTTAATACTTTGTTATTCTATTTAATATGCAGCAGGCAAGATCGAAGTGATTATAAATGTTATATTTCTAAAAATCCTCTATTTCTTAAACCTTTCCTTTTTTTTTTGTGGGCAAAATCCTAATTTTGATAAAACTCAAATTTGTAATTCCTACTAACTGATTACAAAATTTGACACACATGCAGGCACGTTCTATGTACCAAGAGTACCTACAAATTCGAGCCTACCACGCGGATGATGACGCGGATGATTGGTGCGCCAGAAGACGGTTCACCTCCAGGTTGTGGCAATAAACAATCTGGTCAAAGTTCAACTATTTCCAAGAAAAAGCGTCCACGAGCATGTGATGATACTGACGAGAGTGAAACCGAAGGTGATAACAGTGATGCGAGCAATAGCAGCAATGACGAAGAAGAAAAGAGTGACGAAGGGACAGAAAGTGATAAAGATTCGGTACTATTCTCAGTTAGTCCGGTGCAATTCTCAGATAGCGAAGTTAGCGAAACTAGTGAAGAGGACGTAGTTGAGGAAGTTCAGGTAATACCAAAACCAAAGGTAAATTTTGATTTTAAATCAATACACTAAGAAAAAAATTAGAGCTATTGACATTTTTTTTAAACAGAAGAAGAAGTCGAAGAAGAGGTCTGAACACAACGAGAAAGTGTTCGAAAAAGCTGCCAAAAAAGCTGCCATGAAAGTTGGCAAAAAAGCGTATAAACGTTCCATGGAGAAAGACAGACATTTTAGTTCTTGAACATATTTTCTATTTTGAAGTTTAAGTGGTTTTGGTTAAAAATGTTTTTTTCTTTCAGTTTATTATATTATCAGCTTGAATGGTATTTACACTAATTGTTGCAGACTTCTAAGTCATGTAAGTTTTGTTTTACAGCCAATAACATAAGAGTAGGAATCTTGTGTAATAAAATTCTTTTTGTAATATATTAATCTAAATCAAGTGTAGAATAGTACAAACAACTATTGAAATAATTATTGGAACATATATAGCAGGTAGAGGAGGGGGTGAAAGGGGGAGCACATGCTCCCCCGCGCCTATTCTATTTAGCGCCTCAAAGATTTAAATATAATATTTCAACGAAGTAAAAAATTATTTTAGCATATATTCAAAAAACATTTTAGTACACACCATAAAAAGAGCGCATCTTTAAAAAAAGAATGATGTAATTTAATTGAATTTTTGAATCTTATCGAAAATAAATGATTATTAGGCGCTAAAAAAATATTGCTGTTGGGCACCTTTATTTTAATTTTATATTTGGTGCCTTTTTAAAAAAGACTTTCCCCTACCTTCAAAAAGTTCTGGCTACGGACCTGCATAGTCTAAATTTAGAACCTTTACTCTAGAACTTTTTGTTTTCTTCTCTATTTACATGAAGTCTCCCGATGGAGATTGGGTTGATTCAAAATTTTTGTAAGTCCAAATAAGTAAGAATTTCGTTTCCGCATTTTTAATTTAATACACATATGTTTTTACCTTATTATTATCTTTATTATATTAAATACATGGAAAAATAGATTTACTGACTATTTATAACATGGAACAAAGGAGTGCATACCCACTGTGCATTTTTTGTGTTAAATTGAATTTATTTTTTTGCATTGATATCAATGTCAGTAACTTCTTTCTCATATAAGAGGCAGACGAACTGATTTTCTATGCAGTCTGCATTAACTTCGCGTTTTCTGTCATGATTTAAATCTCCAGAAACGAGAAAAATATTGAAATCTGATGAATTGCACGGATATCCTTTAAAGAAATCTCCTTGTTTTTTGAAAGGAGAAATTGAAACTTTAAATTTGTCTTCAACGCCATCATATCGCATGTCGGAAACAACGCAGACTTTAGGCTTGCCAATAGAACTGTTGACGAGAACAACATTGTTCGGGTATTTGTTGGAGATCGTAAAGTCCCGAAAAATTAATCGTTTCATATAGCGCGTTACTTGGAGTTCATAGGCATTCAGTTTGTTTCCTTCCTCTCCCATTTGATAAAATTTATTTGATGGATGGTCAGTAGAAATTGTGTTGATGACACCAAAATCATTCTCATTGAAGTTCGAAAGGTGTATAATGTTTGTTTCTGCTCCTGTTTGTCCGCCTTTTAGTAGAGCACGTCTTCTTTGACAACTGTTTATAAAAAGTCAGAATTATGATAAAATAAGTAAGTAAGAATTACCCTTTTCAAAATTAAGTCAGAAATAAATAAGTCTAAGTTAAATTGGAATTAAAACTCACATTGGCGGCAGAACTATGTTTGAAATCTTTTTCCGCATCAAGCTGTTGCGGATTTGTGCATGGATACGATGTCCGCCTCTTCCATCGAGCACATGGATAAAGAATTTCATCGAGTTCTCGTACCGAAACATGCAGCAATACTCAAGTCGACAATTATTCGCAATCAAATCATCGACAATATGCAGCAAGCAATGAAACGTAAAACGTGGGAAGTCAGCGCCATACAACTTTTGACACTTCTCAACTAAATACAGTAAATTCTCTCTTGCTTTCCTGAGGTGTTCTTTTGGCACCTTCGAATTGTGCCCAGAGCCAACAAGCAATATTACGGCATGCTGAAAAGCAAGCAGAATTTTGTATGCTTCGGCTTTCATTAACGGGTGCCTGAGAATAACGATTGCAACATAAAGGAGGAAAATTCGCTTTTCAGCACACGACCAGGTGATTTCAAATTTCTTGAATGGTTTAGTACCAATGTTGACCTGGATGGCATATGGCAAACATCCTTTCACTTTCTTCAACTTCAATTCCAATGAATCCATTAATGCTTTAGAGAATTTTCCACCTTTCACTTTCACATTCACATGTCAGCATCCAGGTAATTTTCCTTTGTTCGCATCAGTAAATTTCGGGTTGGAACAATCAATAAATGGCCTCTTCGAGGTCCACCGGTCTTTTTGTTAATGCCTTTGCACAAGGAAACACCGCGTTCACCACATCTGAAGAAATAAAAAGTCGGAGTTAAGTATTATTGAGTTTAATGAAATTAGAAAAAAAAAAAAATAGAACAGTATGTTTAATTTCGACTTACCTTTCACATCCGCAATAGGCATTTGAAGATGGGAATCCTTTTATAAACTGCCTGGCTGGGCCGTCACCGATGAAGAATTTCAAAAACATTGTGCACAATCGACGTTTGTATGCTAACTTCATTTCCTTGAAAATATATTTCAGGAATTGATTAGGACAGGACGGCTTGGCAGTTCCATGATAAAAACCAATGATGACCGGTTTGGAATTTCGTGGCATGTAGAAGCGGACACGATTTTCTAGGTGAGTGCAAGGACTTATATACAATAATTGACCCATTATTGGCCAACAAGCGGATTTTACAGCTTTTTTTTGGATTTGCACTCCATCTGCGCTGACTTCATAGACAAGATGGGGGATTTTGTTGCTTCCCTTACACTTCTGACAATGATTTTGCTTCTGACCAATAGCTATAAATCGTTTATAGACCTCATTGGCATCAACACCTTCATCAACTGAGTCTTCAGAGGTTGATTTGCGGAACATGTGCTCTGGTCTTTCTTCGTTGGTCGAGTACAAGTCCGAATTCGACAAATTGCTGACATTGTAACCCAAGACTCTCTTTTTTGTTGCCTTTGATGGTATTTTGTATTTTTCGGTAGTAGCAGTAGCAGCAGTAGTTGCTGGACGAGATTCTGATGATACTGTAATTAATTTTTTCTTCTTTACTGACGGAAAGTTTGATGGCATTGGGCGATTTTGTTCATTTGAATCTGTTTCAGCCTCAGCCTCATCATCAGCATCACTAAAATCCTCATTGTTGTCATCACTTCCGCCTAGGTTTACATCTAAATTACGCGGTGAATGTTCGTTGTCTGACAAATGATACTGCAGGTCTTCAAACTCGTCTTCTTCAAGTACCTCTTGTTCATCTACTTCATCAGCAGACTGTTCTGTATTTTTAACAGCATCAGGACAAGCAATTTCTTTCAAGGCAGGAATTTCTGCTAGCGTCACTGCTAATGAATCTGGTACGTTTTCAGAAACAGCCTCTGTACATAAATAACTTCTTTTAAGCGCTGAAAAATGAGAATATTTAATCTACACTTTATAAGTAAGAATTAGAAGTGATGGTAAATCGGAATTACAGTAGGTCGACAAATAAGAGTTATACATTACTGTATATTAGCATTTTGATTCCGTGTTAAGCATTAATTATATTAGAATTCACGCATACCTGCTGCTGCAGCTACTGATTCAGCCTTCCTACGAATGACTTGCCAGCGCCATTTCAATAAATCTTTATTGTATTTGTTCCGTTTACTAGTCACAAAGGATGTTTTTGTATCAATGACAGTTTTGGCAAAGTATTCAGGAAATCGAGTAACCAGTTCATCAAGATAAAAGCGGATGTCTTTAGAAATTGATCCTATCGAAAATCCAAGTAATCCAGCAAGCAATCCGTAATGTGCATATGTACCGAATTCACCACACGGCATTGGCCTGTATAAATATGTAATACAAATATAAGTGTATAAAATAGATATATAGTTTTTATTTAAACTTACATGTACTCCAATCTGGCAGTTTCCATTTGAGAACGCGATGGCTCCATTAATACCTTTCCAGACCTTGGCAATTCTGCCAGTTTAGGATCAAGCTTCGAACTCGACAGCATTTGAAGTACAAATGTTGTTTTTGATTCTGGCAAGTTCAAATGTGAAAAAACATGTTTCAGAAGATTATCCCATGTTATTTCTTTCTTTGGATGTTTAGCAGCAATATCTTTCATTCTTACTTTAATTTCCAGATCCATAACTGATTTCAAATTATGCAGATCATCGGGAAAAATAACTTTTTCTTCGTTGTCAACAGCAGCATCATTATCAGCAATTTCGTTTTCTGCATATTTGCTAAAGAAATTGTTGACAAATGCAGCATGATCTTGAATAATAGCAGCTTCTTTTGCAGGTAGTTCATCATCATTAAAAGGCTCTTCATCTTCATCACTACTAGAGCTGCTATTGCCAGATTCTGATTTTGATTCACTTTCTTCCTGCTTATCAGATACTGCGCGTTCAATAACTAAGTCCAAAAATAGCGGCTTATTGCGAATGTCATTCGAATTATGGCCGTGTTGATTGAATGAATGCAGCATCGTATTTTGTTTCTTTTTTGAAGCAGGTGGATTATCATCAAGTGAACAGTCAGTACTTGATTTATTATAGTCCAATTCTTTTTGATTTATTTCGGCCTTATACTGGATAATTGTTTCTTTAAGGCGATCGGGACTGACTGCTCGGTTATTATTTGATCCCAAGTTCATGTATTCTTCATCTAATGCGTGGAGAGAATAATTATTATCTGCTTCTCCAACCTCTTCTTCTGCTGCAGATGTACTTGGAATCGAAGGACTTTGAGATGTGTTTACCTCCTGCTCAGATACCACCAACTTCCTCTTTTTAGCAGCTGCTGGTAAAAAAAAATTCATTTTAGCTGCTGCTGGTAAAGCAAACTTATCAGAAACCGAAAGCTCATTTAACGAGGAAGCTGATCCAGAAGATAAAGATTTTGTATCTTTGTCGCCTGATGATGAAGCAGACGACGACGATGATGTAGTAGTGCTTAATGCGATAGGGCCGTTATCATGTTGCTTAATGCGATAGGGCCGTCATCAGTGCAGCCGTGGCGCAGTGGTAACACACTTGCCTCAGAAACGTAAGATCCGTGGTTCAAACCCCACCTCTGAGTAAGTTTTGCGACATCGGTTGGGAAGGAGGCGTGAACTTCCTATTAAATGCTCTTCCGCGGTGCTCTGTGATAAGACCGTAAGGACTTCTTGGGGCACCTAAATCAACTTAAAAAAAAAAAAAAAAAAAAAAAAAAAATGTTTATATAATCCGTTTATGTAAATTGGATCAACAGCACGACATTTCAACTTATTTCGATTCAATTTGGCAATTTTTTGCATTTTAGCTGCAGATTTCTTGGCATTCCTCACTACAGCAGCTAACTCATCTTCGCGTTTAAGTCTCTGAAGTTGCTGCTTCAAAAGATAATATAACGATTTCGAAACACAAAAGTCTCTCAATTTTGTCCTAGGACCTATAGATTTCTTAGCTATCAAGTATTCAAGATTTTCACGACCCAAGGCTTTCACTAAGTCATACTTCCCATCAGGCCTAATATAAGCAGGTTTTTTGTGACCGCCCATTACTTCTAAATATAATTTAACTAAAATAATTTTATTTAACGTTTACCTTTGAATGCACTTATTAAGCATTGTTCGATAGCTAGTTACTAGTTCTTTTCTCATTTTTAAGTGGTTTCTAGACTTTTCTTAAATCGAGCGCTTGCTTAAAGACCTTTTCTCACGACCTTTCATGCTATAAGTTTAAGCTAGCAATTTAAGCTCTAAATGTTTAACATAACAGATAAGTATCTTAATGTTTTAAGTAATGGTAATATTATATTATTATGGTAAACTACTTTTTTTAATTTTAACTTATATCTTCAATTTTTATATATATATATATATTATTATTATTTTATTTATTTAACACCCAATTAACAAGGTAAAAAGAAAAAAAATAAGAAAGTTATTTCGGATGACTTTGCTTAAAAACGTTTTCTTCCAGAATTTGCTTGAAAACTCCTCTTTGCTCTTTTGCATTCCAGCACTCTATTGCATACTATATATATATTATATATATATATTATATATATTGCATATATATATATAATATTCGTATATAATTTTATTATTTTAAAACTTCGTTTTTTTATAGATCTTATAATTTTTAAAATATAGATGATTATAATTATATTTATCTCTAGTTATATTTATATTTAAAGTTATCTCACTGTCTATTGTATTTATTAATTCATATTAGGAGATGAATAATTTAGTTAAAGATGCTGAATAGTTAATGAATGAAGGTTTGTAGTTTTCTTGCCTTTGTGTCACTGACAGCGTCATCTTTTTATATTTGTTTAGCTTTAAAGTTTTTTTATTGAATTCTTAGAGAGTAAGTTATTTTTTTAATTTTTTTACAGAATCGTTATATTTATTTCTCTGTTTTCTTTCGAAATTCTTGTTTAAAATGCATATAAGTTTTTGAAGTTATGCTTTTTTTTTTCATTTTCTTATATTACAGCATTCTTATATTATAAAAAGAATATAATAAAATAATTTTTATTTTATGTATGTAAATATTTTTATATTTGTTAGTTGACAATAATTTAGAAAATAGAGAAGTCCAAAGTAAACTTATATATGTATATACATTTACAAACTGCCATCTATAAATGAACTAAAGTATTTACATTTAGTTTTTATTTCATTTAAACAAGCGAATGGGTTTTGATATTTAGCTTTTATTTAGCTTTTGCTTTTTTTGTTGTAAATACTTTGTTTAATTTGAGATTTGTTGGTTGTGTTTATTTAGCTTTTCTTGTTAAGGTGCTGATTTGCTGAGAAGAAAGTTACACAAGCGAATTTTAAGTTTGTATATACTTTTGATATTATCTTTATAAATGTTCTGATCTTTAAAATGAGTAGAATCATTTTTGGTAATGTTATCTTGAATTTTATAGTATTATTTTTTTATACTTAAAACTTTTTTCTTTTTTTTTAGACTTTAAAAATTTCTATTTATGATTTATAACATATATTTTTAAAGTTCTGCTTTCACGATATTTGGTTTTAGTTGGCTCACTGTTTAATATAACTTTAATTTAGTAAATTTGAAACTCAATTAAATAATCAATTAAAGCTAGTGAGTAAGTCACTTTGATTCAATAACACCGAGGAATTTATGACTTAAATTTTTTTGCTTGAATAGATTCCAATTATTTTTATATACTATAAACATTGTCAGTTTCTAGCTCATTTAGTATATTCAATGACGATCAATTGTGAAGCGACAATAACATTGTGAAATTTTTATAGGCATATGTTTGGTGTGCATCTTAAGATCATGTTGGGGTTTTTAATAAATGTTGAATTTTTTCCACACAAAAATTATAGTAACTGTTATACATTTATTTTAATAAATCAACAGGATGATAAAATTTAATTTGTGTACGTAAACTTGGTCAAATTTATCTAAAATACGTTTTTAATATGTTATATATATGAAATTAGTTATCATAAAGTTCAAAATCAAAACTTTTTGCCTGCAGTGGAAAAGCTAAGAAAAAGGACTTAGCCCGAAGATTCGTTTTATACAAATAAATGCAATAATATAAGGGAGTTAGATGAAAGATTAATAATAAAGAAAAGTTTCATTTGTTGGTTTTGTTTATTCTTTACATTAATATATATAGAAAATATTTTGTAGGGCTGTCAACTTTATTGAAAAGGTGATAGTTCAATTTCAGCTTCAATTAATAAAGTTTTTGATAAAGCTATGTCAAAAAGTGTTCAATCATTTTTTAATAAAGCAGGGAGATATGACAAAAGATTATTTTAAAAACATTGTTGTACAAAGCAAGTAGGTAATTTTTAAATTTTAAATTTTGACATGTTTGTTATTTACATCATATTAGGAGATAAATAATATAGGCAATGTTTAAATGGTGACATGTTTGTTATCTTATTTTATTCAATAATCAAATGATAATTACGTTTTATTTCATTGTTATACAAACTAAACATGTTTATACATCACACTAATTTACCCTTACTATAATTGTGTGCATATGTAGCATTTTTTGTATGTGCTAATAAAAATGCTCAAAATATTTATATTGGATTTCTTTTTTAGAAACAATGCTGTCACATGTAACAAAATTCGATTCGGTGTCAGTTCGTCAATGCGTTGATAGGCGATCAAGAGAGCTCCTTAAAAAATAAAATATTTTATATCGTTTTTGTATATTTTTCATTAAAAATGAATATAAAATTATTAAACCTTTAGACAATTATTTCTTTAAAAATCTCTATGCAAATTTAGGCACCTACACCTAAATTTTTCTATAACTTATCTGCATAAAAAAATTTAAAACGTTTTAAAGCGTTCTTGTGCCCCTGGGCTGTTACAGCAGACTAATTCCGAGATAAGTGACTGGAAGTAATCCCTATATGGTGAAAGCACATTTACTTAAAAAAATATTTCTAATTCCTATATTGATTTGAGTAATTCCTGTATTGATTTGAGTAATTCTTACTTAATTCACATTTGCTAATTCCTACTTATTTTCCTAAAAGTCGGAATTAAGTTTTTTACAAAATTGGGAATTAGGTTTATTAAAAAATTCGGAATTAGGTTTTTTACAAAATTCGAAGAGTCCAATTCCCAGTTATAAAACTTAAAAGTTTCTAATTCCGAGTTGCGCTTTAATAGGGTATTAAAGGCATGCATTATAACCTAGTTCCACTTTTGAAAAAAGAACCTTCGAAAATTATCCTGCATGTTGGAACAAATAATTGTACAAATGATTCGTCTGAATCTGCTTTGACAAAATTAAAAGATCTTGTTTCCTTCATTTCAAAATCTAACCCTTCATGTTCAATAATTTTATCTACACCAATTCGTCGTTTCAATAATGCTAATGCTCAATTACACTTAGCCAAAAAATTAAAACTAACTAAATTTAATATTATTGATAACTCTAATTTGTCTAAGGAACACCTTGGGCTACGTGGTCTTCACCTAAACACACGAGGATCAGGTAGACTTGCCATGAACTTTATTGCATATCTGAAGTCTATTTGATAGACATTCCCCTATAGATTCTTATCACCAATCTACCTTACCAAGTACTATTGAAGAAATTAGTCTAAATTCTTATTTGGGGGTTTATAAGTGGCTATTATGAGCTATTTCCGCATTCTTAATTTAATTTCAAAAGTGATAATTTGAATGTCTCTGAGGAAATCCCTTTTAGCTAATCTTTTAGAAATGATATTTTCATTTATAAAAATAATCTAAGGGCCAAATATCCCAAAAATATCAGTTTAGCATTCTTAAATATTAATTCAATTTGTAATAATTTTTTAGATATTGTTACCTATATAAATAAAACTGTTGATATACTTATATTAGGTGAAACCAAGTTAGATGACTCCTTTCCAATAAATCAATTTTTATATCCAGGTTATAAAACGCCTTATCGGCTTGATATCTCTCAACATAGTGGAGGTCTTCTTGTATACATAAATGAAAATATCATTTCTAAAAGATTAGCTAAAAAGGATTTCCTCAGAGACATTCAAATTATCACTTTTGAAATTAAATTAAGAATGCGGAAATAGCTCATAATAGCCACTTATAAACCCCTAAATCAGAATTGTGACTATTTCTTCAATCACCTTAAAGGAGTGCTTGACTTTTATTTGCAATCATTTCTTGATTTTGTTCTAATAGGAGACTTTAATATAAAACCTTCAGGAAAAAAAAATGAAGGAATTCCTTCAACTTTATCAATGTATTAATTTAATTAAACAACCGACTTGTTTTAAATCGGTCAATAACCCTTCCTGTATAGACCTTATCCTTACTAACAGAAAGCTGAGCTTCCAACATTCAAATACCTTTGGTACGGGTGTGAGTGATCATCACCATTTAATATACACTATGCTAAGATCCACTTTTTGTAAGTTACCACCTAAAATACTTATATATAGATCGTTCAAAAATTTCTCAAAAGAGATTTTTGCAAAAATACTCCGTTTCAACTTAAAATCTTGTTATGATATTAGTACTTTTAATGAGATATTCAGCAATTTGCTTAATATTCATGCCCCTCTTAAATCAAAAATTCTAAGAGGTAACAATAAATCTTTTATAACTAAAGACTTACGAAAAGCAATTATGCTCCGCTCTTCATTATATAAAATATTTTTAGTTGATAAATCAGATTTTTCAGCTCTAATGTACAAAAAACAAAGGAATTTTGAGGTTAAGCTAAACCGAAAAAATAAGAAGAAGTACTTTGAGCAAATCACTTTCGAATTCAAATAGATCTCTCTGGAAGCTAACTAAGCCTTTCTTTTCGGACAAATCTACAAATTCTAACGAGCGTATCACTTTGACTGAAAATGGCAACATTATCTCAGACAGTTCTTTGTTGACTAATATTTTTAATAAATATTTCATAAATGTTGCATTGCCATCAAGTATGACCGACCATATTAAATGGTCTTTTTCTACTTGCACTTCAGGCCCAATTGAGTCAGCTATTAAAAAGTATGTTGACCATCCTAGTATAAGAAACATTAAAAATAAATTCAAAATGAATGCACATAATTTCAAGTTCCATTGTATTACACCTGATGATATTACAAAAATTATAGGGTCTATGAATGAAAAAAAAAACAAGTGGTGAAATACCAACTTTTATGTTAAAATCTTGCTTAATATACTTTAGGGATAGTCTTACAGATTGTATCAATAATAGCATCTTAGATGGAACATTTCCGTCATTTCTAAAGATGGCGGATGTTTTACCGTGTTTTAAAAAAAATGACCCAACAGATAAGACTAACTATCGCTCTTTAAGTATTCTACCTGCGCTCTCCAAAGTTTTTGAAATGATCGTTTATAAACAGATTTTGTTATTTATAGAGCCAAAATTTGACAAACTTTTGTGTGGTTTTCGTAGAGGTTATAGTACTCAGCATACACTTATTTTTTTACTTAATAAGTGGCATGAATGCATTAACAATGGAGGTATTGTTGGTACATTATTAATGGATCTATCTAAAGCGTGTGATTTTATTCCGCATGACCTACTTATTGCTAAATTAGAGGCGTTTGGTTTCTCTAAAGAAAATCTTAAATTTCTTATATTGTATATTAGTGGTCTTAAACAAAGGGTAAGGATAGGACCTTCTGTTTCTAGTTGGGTTGATATTTCGTCGGGAGTGCCTCAAGGTTCCATTCTTGGCCCCATCCTCTTTAATATTTTTATAAATGATATATTCTTCTTTATTAAAGATACTGAGTTGTGCAACTTTGCAGATGAAAATACGCTGTATGCCTGTGATTACAGCTTAGAAAAGGTTATTTTTCGATTGCAAAAGGAAGCAACTAATACCATTGCCTGGTTTAAGTTTAACTCGATGGTTGCCAACCCTGATAAATTCCAATTACTTTTAGTTGGTTTAAAAAACACAAAAAATCAATACCTAAAAATAGGTAATACAACTGTTTTTGCCTCTGATAGGGTGAAACTACTTGGTGTTACAATTGATAAGAATCTAAATTTTGGAGAACACATTAAATACTTATGCAGTAAAGCTAATGGTAAATGTTTTGCTTTTTCACGCATAAGAAGTTTTTTATCCCGTAATAAAGCTACATTATTGTTTAACGCCTTCATAATGTCAAATTTTTCTTATTGTTCCCTAATATGGATGTTTTGTTCTAAATACTATGACAACTTTATAAATAAAATTCATAAAAAAGCTCTTTGTATTGTCCATAACTGTTTGACTTATGTCTTGATGAATTGTTAAGTTTTGATAATAGCCCGAGGATCCACTTAAGAAATTTGCGCTTTCTTATGATAGAAGTTTTTAAATCAATTAATTGTCTAAATCCACAATTTATGAAAGATTTATTCAATACAAAAAACCTTCCTTTTAAACTTCGTTGTAGCAAAAAAAACATTCTACCTTCAAATGGCTCCAAATATAAGTATCAATGTTGTACTATATTTAGAGCCATCTCGTTATGGAACACTCTAGATAACAAGACCATGTCCTCTAAAAGTTCTGAGGTGTTCAAAAAACATATTAAAAATTGGTATGCAAAAAATTGTTATTGTAAAATCTGTCGTTTTTAATTTCTATTTTTATTTATCCTGACATTATAATACAATATTTACTCATTTTTCTGTAATGAAACGGTTGTAATTTGAATTTGAATATTTTAATGTTATTTGTAATTTATATTATAATTTTATAAATTTTATTTATATATATATATATTTTTTTGATTTATTTTTGATTTATTTTATTTAACGATTTTCATGTGATTGTGTATTGTCTATAATTGTTAAATGTGTTGATTTTAATTAGTTTTATTTTTGTTAAAACTATTGTAACCATCAACAAAAAATAAAGTTTTTAAATTAAATTAAAATAAATGCTGGCACAGTTCCGCTTGCAACTACGGCGCGATGACGGCTGTCGATCACGGACCTGAATCGAAACGGCCATTGGGCCAGCACTGGTCCGCTGCCATGGGCCAGCATTGACCCGCAATCGTTCGCCAGTACTGGCCTGCAATCGTTTGCCAACACTAACCCGGGATCGTTTGCCAGTACTGGCCTGCGATCGCTTACCAGCACTGGCCCATTTACTATTACCAGTACTGATCCGTGATCATTTTCCAACGTTTGTTCGTGGTCGCGTGTCATTACTAAAGCGTTACTTCATACTAATACATTAGGACAAATGTATTACTCCGCATGAATCAAACAAATAAGTATGTTTAATAAAGAAATTTATTCCAACTTATATCAAAAAAAATAAACAAGTATTTTCGAAATTTATTCCCAACGAAAAGTGAGTTAAAAAATAATGAAAAAAAAAATGTTATTAAAAGTTCAAATTGTTATTTATGCAAATAAATTTTTAAATAAAGAACGTTCCTCTCGAGCTTTTCGATCCGCCATTTCGATCCCCAAAAAGCAAAAAATATCTCTTCAGTTTAAACTCTTCTCCTGATGCTCCTGAGGGTAAAGCTTTTATTTTCACAGCATCTAAATAACACAAAGTTAAACTGTGTGAAAAATGTATGGTTAAAATGAACATTAACTAAAATGTATGATTAAAATGTAACTAACTAAAATGTATGATTAAAATGTACATTACATTCACACATATTTTTTTTTTTTTTAACATCTTCGCTTCCAACAAGGCTGCAAGCAACCACTAATTAGTGTTGGAGGTTACTGGAAGAGAAAAGA